CCACAAACTGGGCTTGGCTGCTCCCATGGATGTAACTCTGCAAGAAACAAAAAGCACATGAATTTAGAAAAGACTGGAGTCAACTCTGACATCATTAACAGCAGCTACAGAGCCTGGGACTGGGTTTGGCAATGTTTCTTTCAGGAGACAAAGTTGGAGCATGAACAATTTTAGCTGTTGAGTACTGATTCTGGGGGAAGCTGTGTCAGCATCAAAAATCTATTAGGATGCACAATCAGCCTCAAGTACCATTGTGATTGCAAGAAGTGCAAGTGCAGATATAACTCTCATGGTCCAGACTCAGTTCAGCTGGGCAAAATGCCATGATTAGGCCTCCTGCACCCACTGTGATCCACATCTGACCCCTAACTCAGATTCTTTGGTTAGGTACAATGTTGCTCAGCTTTGGGAGTCTCTTTGATCTGTGTGTGAGCCCTACTTGCTTGGCTCCAGAATCAAACATCTGAAATCTTTTCCAGGGCACACCAAGAAAATAAATATCACTACTCACACCAGTGAAGCTTTATTTTTCAGTCTCAAAAAGGCTGAGGAATGATGTAAACAGAAGAAACAAAAGGAAGAGTTTTCAAGAAAACACTTGAAATAAAAGAACTTCCACTCAGTAAGTTGGCTCAGCTTTATTTACATTAATAGTTTAGTAACCAACTGGGTTAACACAAAAAATGAAATCTGTGAAAGAAAACCACTTTTGAATCCCCCATGGGAAGCTCTACATAACTGTTGTTATGATGTTATATCCAAGAAGGAAAAAAAAAAAGAATTTGATAAGCAGATCTACTTTCTATGGAAAAATACAAAGGGCATTACAAACCTAATGAGACATGAAAGACATTTCACCAAATTGATTCCCCTCTAATTAAAATACATGAGAAAAGGCAACATTTGATGCGTAAGCACCTCTGAAGATGCAATGCTCTCACAACATTCTGAATACTTTTGATGCATCTCATTCTATAATTCCATGTACAGAGCTGTGGAGTTCAAGTGATGTTAAAAGAGACTTTTCCCAAGAAAGACTTCATAAGTCTGAGGCCACTAGATATTAACTTACCTCAAGGACCAAGAAGAAATATGTTTTTATATGAAAGTCATTAGCTGAGTGTATGAGTGAAGAAGACCAGGCTAAACACAAACTGCCAGGCCCAGCAATAAGACTGTTCAACATGTGAGACTCAGCACAAACACTTTCATTTTGCTGTTAGCAATTTAGAACCATTATGTCCCTGCATCACTGGAGATACAATATATGTACAAGACAGAGCAAAGCAAATGTCAGAGGTAAGTAAATGCTGAAAAAAAATCTATAAAACACAAATAGCAGGTCAGAGAAAGGGAAGAGATGAAGTAATTTAAAATAATCGACCCTAAAATCTAAGCAAAACAGCATTGTCATTATGCTTCCTCCAAAATTTATCTCTTTTTTAGTTTTACATTTTGGAGAGAAGAGGAATAGCAGGAAAGATGCAGGAAAGATGCAAGAAAGGCTTCCCTTATGTTCTGAAGCAAGGGGGAACACCTCCATCCAAATTAATTGCCAGCAATACTTCTGTGTGTTACCCTCTTTACCCTACTGCATTAGTGTAGTGCTTTCTGATTGCTACAATAATCCAAGTATCTGCACAGAAAAAGACTTTGAATTCTCTAGGTATTAACAAAACTAACTCCAGAATAAGTTTGGAACTGGTATGTCCCATTACCAGCAGAGTACCAACCACATGACTCCTGTCTAATGCTTTGTCACATGGAAAGCACTTTGAACACTCTCTAACCAAAACCACAACATGCTGCTAGAGAGTCAATCAACCTTACTATCTATCATGTCATTAAGACTTGCATTTTTTTATTTCACCTCTTAAAAGCTCACTACTCAGCACAGAAAGCAATACATTTATAAAACCCAAAGCAATGTGTGTCCTCTTGGAATATCACAGCAGAGATGCCACCATTCCTAGAGAATGAATGATTCACTGAACAAAGCCTGCAGGAATGATCCTCCTATCAACATGGAGTCCTGGGTTATGGTTGAAGATACCACACAAGTTACACAACAGAGCACTTTGTTGTCTTAGCAGCAAAGTACAAGTTTGCAAACAGTTTGTTCTATTTGAGCCAAGAAAAGGATAAAGCCAAATAGGAGAAAATCTGAATCTTGACTGGAACTCTAACACTCCTCTTGTTTCCCACAAAACAAAACCTCCCTTTACAGGCATGTTTTAAGAGAAGATAGATCATCTCTGAACTAACCAACAGTTCTCTGATTTTCCTTGCTCACTGCAGGAGAAGTTAGTCTCTCCCACTTACAAAGAAAGAAGGCAAGAGTAGAATTTGCACTGACTTCTCTCTTTTAGCATCAGTTTTATTTTGCAGAAATACAACAGAAACGCAGATGAGAAAATGAGGAAAAAACTCACCACTTGTCCTGTATGGGGATTCTTATGAGCATAGGGGGGACCTCTAATGTGGTTCCACATCTGGCCTGATGTCATTGCTAACACAAAACACTGAAAACGAAAGAGGAAACACTATTTAATAAAGATTTTTTTTATTTAATCTGGTGTCTTTTTAACTCATACCAAAACATGCTGGTTTGGAATACAACCTTAAGCTAGGCATTGTTCTACCTCCTATCTGCACAAAAGGCATCTAATCAAGCACTCACTGAGCTAAAAGGACCAAGACTGAATAACATTATAAGCCTTCCAAAAAGTAAAACTAATAGCACCTCATCTTCCTCTTCCAGATGTAAGCATCTTCAAATACAGAAGCTTGTAAAGACTTGAACTGCTACAAAACTCGTGACAAGAGGCAGACAGGAGCTGGAATCACTCACCAAAGCAGCAAATGCCCAGCCAGTTTTGTTATAGAGGAAGTCCAGGTTGCTCCCACGCAGGTACACGAGGCCTCCGATGACAGCCAGCAGCAGCCCCAGCATCAATGGTCCAGCGTAGTTCGGTGGCCTGATCACACGGATCTGAACAGAGGATATAAAAGTATTTCCTCTCAACGGATGAGATACTGTACCTGCACTCCTGCTAACATATTGAGTGGAAAGAATATCAACACACACATATTCCATATAATAAATCTAATTTGGGAGGTAAGTAATGCTTCTTCCCCTGTTGCTGTAACATCAGTTTAACACCCTTTACCCAATCCAATAATTTAAAGCCTGGTTTTCTTCCGCACAAACAGAAGAGTGAGAAGGAAGGAGACGAGTTCTACCACCTTATCAAACACAGAATTACACAAAATATTAGCAAGCC